TCCTGCACTTGTTCATCGACTGTCTCCTCCTGCAGGTTGGTGTCTTCCTGCACTTCTTTTTGGATGATCTCCTCCTGCAGGTTTTTGTCTTCCTGCAGTTGATCAATGACCTCCTCTTTCTGCAGCTCATCATTGTCCTGCTGCAGTGCCTCCGTCTCTTCCTCTACACTCTTCAGTCTGTGGATCTCCAGCTCTTTCTCCTTGATCTGCTCTTGAAGCTGACGCAGCTTTTTATTTTGCACCTTGCTCAAGCTGGTGAATCTCTGCTTCTCCAGCTTCCTCTGCTCTTCGAGGTATTTGAGCGAAACCAATCTGTTCTCCACGAGAGCTTCCTTCATGCCGACCAGTGAGTTACTTGATTTCAGCCTCTCGCTGACCTTTTGTTTGTCATCCTCAAGCTGCTTGATGACCACGTGCAGATGCTGATTGTACTCCATCAGCTGCTGGGTTTCAGCCTTGGATGCTTCCAAAGCTTGTCGAAGTTCAGCAGCTTCCTGGGCTCGGCTGTTGTGGCCACCAGGGTGAGGATTGTTGGCATGCCCTTGCTGGTGCTTAGGGTAGAATCGGTGAGCCATGATCTTTCAGTGTTGGACTTGACTAAGAGACTCGTGGAGAAACCTGTTGCTGCTGGCTGTCAGACTGACTGAATGTCTTAACTGACTATGAGTTATATTTCTCCCCTGAACTTTCGGAATGTGACGTCACAAAGGCGCCTGGTTGATGACATCATGACTGCACATTGCCTAGCAACAGAGCTACAGTATGCTTATTTTTGAGATTTGCTGCTGCTTGTCAGTCACACAGCACTTGTTACAATCAAATCAAGTTTATTGTCATTTTGCTGTACATACAATAGTGCAGGGCCGGCCCTGACCAATGTGGTGCCCTGGGCAAGGCTGTAGTTGGCACCCCTCTAGCATCACAGTGAACTTCACTCTTAGTTTTCACACAATAACACAGAAACTGTATGCATGTATTGAAGCCTTTATTTAAATATAAACAACACACAAAATAAAACTGAAGAAACAAGTGACCAATATAAATAAGGCATTGTACAACTATAAAAAATGTTCCATAGCTTGTTCATTTATTTTCTACTATTTACAAAACAAGGGGCTGTGGACCACTGAGGAATCTGATGTAGAGCTGCTCTTGTTTTATTTATTTCTGAGTATTTTTGATAAAAAAAAAAAAAGAAAGACGTTAAGTTTTGCTGTGAAAGGTTTCAAGTGTTGAATATAAATGTGAATGACCTGTTTGTCACTCATTGGTAGATTCTTAGTTTAACTATGAAGCTATAATGTCCCATTTTAAGATGCAGAGCTCAAAAAGTTTAAAGGATTGTTTATTGTCAACCCACATTCACACAAAGAGGTGAGATCAGTGCAGGTTCTTTGTCAACAAGGTGGCAGAAGTGCAGAATAACTTCAATTTATCTGTTGAAAACTCCTATTTTTTTTTTCTATCGCAATATATATTACAGGGTTAGAAGAAATCACAATGTCAGTTTGCTCCAACATTGTGCAGCCCTATATATATATATATATATATGTGTGTGTGTGTAATTTATTATGATATGGAGAAGGCTAAAGTATGAACTATTTACTGCACTTTAATACTGGAGTAAACTTAGCACCCTGTAGCATTTAAAGAGGAAGCAAAGCTAAGCCTTTTAATGGACAGCAGGGAGGATAGATTCAACAGGTTAAAACACCTGAACAGGCCTAATATTGACTTTCTAAATATCCCTGATTAAGTTAAGGTGGTGGTAACATTAATTTAAGTCAACTGTAGCTATTTAGTGATTGCATACAATGCTGCTATCATCCAAAATAAGCTAGCATGTTAGCATTGCTCTGACAACAGTAGCTACGATCCATTTACTAACTAATTCAATTACATTGATGTTATCGTACCTCTGTCTTTTCCCCGTTTTTCTTCCTCTTCTTTCCTTCTTTTCCTTGCCTGACCACCAGACTCTTTTACTCTTCATAATTCTGGGTATAAATCAATCTGCAGCCAAATACTGCTTTCTGGCCACTTCCACGCTTTGTGGCGCCCCCTGTGGATGTCGGCGCCCTTAGCATTTGCCTATACTGCCTATGCCGAGGGCCGGCTCTGCTTATTGATGAACCTATTGAGAATTATTTAGCTGTCTTAAACAGCAACAGAAGGCAGATGTTTTCAGTGTAAAAGTTCTGGAAAAAAACAAAAACAACCCAACCCACTGTACATTGCGTTCTCAAGAACAGATAGAGACACTGATGAATATAATGGGGCATTTTGCATCTAAAAAGCCAAATAATTCCCTCAGGAGTTGGTAGAGACCATAAACGGAGCTGAAAGAGACCGAATATTGGACTTCCATTCATCAAGTGGGCAGAAACACGACAGCAAATGAATGATAATGTTGCTCTGGAGCTGCAGTATCTGTAAAGTGTTTGCTAACATCAGCTCTAAAGGTGGTGACATGTTTATGACTTGTCTCTGCTAAATTAGTTATTGCAGCTTCAGTCGCATTTAATATGTAAAATGAATGACAGTCTAGTATATTTATAAATGTTGTATATATAACAGGGAAGTTGTTGAAATGAAACCAAAAAAGAAAAAAAAAGAAGCACTGAAGATGAGTTATATCAGAGAACTGATCATATCTGTGTACTGCAGCCATCTAAGAGCCACTCTGATGAGGCGTTTTTTCTTTTAAAAGCTGAAGAAATGTGCTTTAATTCTTACATTTGTGAGCAGGAGTGAAAAGGTGAAGGCTTTCACTTTTGTCCCTGTTCTGTTCCCTCCTGGACACGGAGCTCTTTGAACGCCGGCTGGCTCAGTGGGATTAGTCGCCTCTGCTGGGTTTCACACGACATTCAGATCTTAGATTTAACCTGTCAGATCTTAATTTTCAACTTCATTTTATCTTTCACCTTACAAATTGTGATTTTGCAGCGGACGACACAGATTTTAGCCTTAAAACATGCTCCCTGTGAAGGCAATTTAAATCTCATGAATCATTATTTCTTTCACAAATCCGAACCGACAGCAAGATCTTGACCTTGATGAATTTACTGCCAGGTTATTAGTCATATGGGTGAACATGAAATTAGCTTCACAATGGCTCCATACAAATGACTGAATTTAAGCCACTGACACAGTTGGAACATAAAAGTTCCACCTCTGAATAAGCCACTGTCTGCACAATCTGAACGACCCCACTTGTCACAGCGATCCTATCTTATCAGCCCTCCATCACCAGCTCAGCCCTGCTCAGATAGGCCATGTTCCTTTGGTGTGACAGCAGGCGGCTTTTCAGCCAAAATGCATGGGTGATGAATTTGTAATTAAGTGTACAAGCTTGTAGAAACCATTTGATCCTCAAGTAAAAAGATTAGCGAGGGCTCGATTTAACTTTGTTTTCGTGATGTTAAAAGCAGTTATTACGTCAACCGGCCCAATGTCATCTGGGTGTCGTATAGATAAAGCCCAAACACGTGGCAATTTGTGATGTCAAAGCAGTGTTCTGCCCCTGTATTTACTCCGTGTTTTTTTATTATTTTGTTCATATGTTTCCAGGAGGAATTGGAAGAAATATGGAAAGAATTGTTACAAGGGAATTTCCAAACTGTACAAATGTCTAAGACACTGATACTCTGATACTGAGTAAGTACCGATTGTTGTGTTTCAATTGTGCTGCAATAGTTTGCTTTGTTGGCATTCTTCTGTTCTTTTGATTCCCTTTTATTTCACGCTGATAGCTGCTATCGTTTAAAGTCATGTTTTTAATTCACATGGATAGAATAAGTATCTAGTTTACAATACTTGATAGAGATCAATCCACTGAGCCAGACTCCAGGGTCTCTCGTTGGAGGGCGGTGAGCTGCTGAAATTAGCTGATAGCTGCAGCAAAAGGCACAGAATGTCCAAGTCTGCCTGCGATTTTTTTACTACTGCCATGAATCTGACAGCGCTAATAGCAGTATTTTATTGAATATTCAGGTGATATTGTGCATTTTTCCTAATACTCTTTACTTCCTTTGACACATCTTGTTTAGGATAATATATAGATAGCGGGCACTGAATTAAAACACCACAAAAGATTTGGCAAAATCCTGCTATTGAAAGCTGTCAGAGAAAAACACTGATATCATGTAAAGCAGAAAAGTGCTTACGAGTTAGGACAAGAGAAAGCATTTACAGGCTTTATTGTACTTGTTAAATTCAACATGGACCCATGATGAGTTGTTATAAGGATATCTGGCCCTTGAGGAATATTATAATAATAGTATCCAGGCCTTGATATTATAAATTTACTGCAATAAAAAACATTGTTCTCTACGTGTTGATAATGGTTTCCTGCCACCCTAATATCTGCCTCTAGTATACAAATTGATCCAGGCTATAAAATCTGCCAAGTGCAACCTTTCATTTTGCTATAATTTCGTATCTTTTCTTTACATCCTGAATGGATAATACGACCCGAAACAACAACAGAGTCGTCCATTAAAGGCAGAACACAAATTGCTCTCCCTCCAAAAGACAGAAATATAATAAATAGGATATCTGATGTTTTGTTATCAGAGAATTTTTAAATAAACCGCTTCCACTTTGTGCTCTGGATAAACCGCCCTACAGCTAGAGGCCTTGGTGTTGTAAATATAATGTACATGTATAAAAATGTCTACATCTGACTGTTGTGAAGACAGAAATGTGCAGTTGGTTTTGCTCTGTAAGATAACACGGTGCTTTTCAAGACTGTTTCTCGGATGATGGCGCACAACGTGAAAGTCTGGCCTTAGACGTGGAAATGTTGACGACTTGTACATAGAATAGGAAGGAATTTAAATCTAAACACTAGCCTCATCCTACGTTATTGTAAAGTCAGCTGACTGAGCAGATAGTTGTGTGTTTCCATGACATCAAGTCCCACAACAAGCTGTATGTCCTCTTTTTTTTAATTATTTATTTTTTTACAGTAGCATGCCCTTATTATCTGTGATTAAAAAAAAAAAAAACGAGACTATCGAAGACAATTCTGGGTTAAGCGAATACTGTATATATATCATGGTGATTTCAAAGTTTACTTGACACATTAAACATATTATTAAACACCTTGTCTAATAGTCTAGTGGTGCAATTGCCCAACAAGTTGTGCATGATATAATCTCTGATATTGTTCCTTTTTGTCGATTATATAAAAACCGTCTTGTTTTCGATCACATTTCTTACTGTGAACAAATTGCCATTTTGAAATTGTTCAAAAATAAATGTATTTTTATATGGAATTATGGTTTTCTGTTATGCACACACCCAGAATATGGGATGCGAAGACAGACGCTGGATGTTGTCATGACACGAACCGGAAAACAAATGGGTTTGGAGAAGCTTTGTTCCTGCGTTGCCACAGTCTTATCTGAAGCACAGGTGCCTTGTAGCAGCCAGTGTATCAGCCTCAGCACAGCACTTTTAATGATCCCACAGTGGCTCTGAAGTCAGCTTTAATGGGCAGAAGTGTGATAACACCCATGTGAAGATTCCCATCTGACATTTAGACTGAGCTTCATTTTACCTCTATCAGTCTATCACTCAAGTTGCCCATTACAGATGGTTTCTTTTTAATGGGAACAATTACCGAGGCTGTAGTCAAGTGATGAGAAACAGATGATTTTGTAAAGAAGAACTACGAGCATTAGTACTGCTCCTTGTCTGTCTGCCGATTCAGGAAGGAAAAAAAAGCACCGCACATTAATATGACGGCGACGGCGAGGTTGGAGGACAAACCTGTGCGGCTGATTGGCTGACATAAGTCGACACACACAAAGCCGCAGCAACCACCTCTGTTTTGCATTTTGTTTGCCTCTTCAACAGCTTCATATCACACACCAATCTTCATCACTCCGGCAGCCATCAACGCCCCGAGAGTCTTATTCTCTCTCCTGCTCTCAGTCTGAATTAACACCAAGGCCTTTCTCTAACTGCCCTGGGATGTTCGGCGGTGCACAATCAAATTGAACGGTGACAATCACTAATGGATGATTCGCTGCAGCCAGACACTGTAATGTAGCACTCAATGAAAGGAAACATGCTCATCAATTTCACACTGTGGCTAACACAATATTGCTGTGGGTTATTGTTGTGGGACATTTTTCATTCAAGGTGCTACCCAGACTGGGGGAAAAAAAAAAAAAAAATCTTCCTTGTTGATTGTGTGTGTCTTGATTTCCTGGAGAGGGGATAATTAATTTGTTGCACAGTGGGAGAGCCAGGGAACTAGCCCATTAGAGTCACTCCAGGCTACTTGGTGCTTTTCATTGTCCCCCCGCTCGGCCCCATTGTATCATGCAAATGGCTGCACTGAAACTTCTGGCATGCTAAGCAACACTTGTTAGAGACAGAGCGAGAGAGAGAGAAAAGCCACTAATTCTGCAAAGTGTGTGTGGCCATCAATCAATGCTGTGAGCCAGCTGAGGTGGAGTTTTGCTCATTATGAAGTTTGAGATAGAATTGTAATCAAATACCCCCCCAAAAATAAAACCATTTATGCTCTCAGAAATGACTAACAACCAGCCACGTGGCTTTATTTTTGTGTTTCTGCTTTATTCTGCAACCATGGTTACTTCTGCAAGATCAAATGAAAATCACAGTAACAACCCACTGAATAATCACGTCACTTGTAATGAATGAGTCGTCTAGCTTTTTGAGTAACAGAAAATATCGCAGTTCACACGTCTAACATTTCATTTTTTTTTTTTTCTAATTAGGATGTATTTTAAGTAGCTCGAAAGAGGAGGAAAAAAAACTCATCATGCAAATATGTTCACAATCGTATTCACAGGTTAATTATTGGGAATTGACAAAAAAAAATATTTTAAAGAAACAACAAGCATGGAATAAAAAACTCCCGATGACCGTGTTGGAGAGGCAGAGTTCGTCGAGTCTGAGTTTATTTATGCTTCAAGCTCAATTGGAGGATTGGAGGGAAGAAGTATGGAGAAGCCTCTAGTCAATTTGTCTTACTGACATATGATGCTGACAACACTTAAAAAGAAAAGTTTGATGAAGAAGAACTTCAGTACTTATCCCAAAGAGACAGCAGCTGACCAAAGCTCGGCGCGTAGGCTGAGCCTTGTTGACAGGAGATACGTCTTCTCTATCTCCGTGTCCCTCGCAGCGAAGGAGATGAACAAATCTGCAGCCTTTTGTCCGCCGAGTCCTTGGGGGCAAATCTAGAACAGACAGCAGGCTCCTGTGCATTACTGTAAACTGAGGGAACGCCATGTATAGATGCTGGTGGATAAACAGTCCAGAATAAATAAAAGGTGTTTTCGCAACAACCTAGAAAAAAAAAACAAAAACAAAAGAACCCATTTTTCCATTCAATTTTTTGGGCGTAGTTTCAGTGTTGTCCTATAAGAAGGCACTACAACCTTCACAGTGAGATCAGTTCAAAGGAAAGATATTTTGCAAACTGTGTCAAGGAGCCTTAACTTTTGCGGTGGTATAAATGTATCATCACGGGCGACGAATAGCAAATAAACCTTGATCTAATGGCTAATTAAAGCACAAATGTGGCAATGTAGCACTTTTTTTTTTTTTTTTCTCCGCTGCATTAGAGTATTTGCTGCACCGTAGCGTCTTATTGGCAACACAGTAATTACTCAGAACATTTACATTTTGCTCTCCGTATAGAAACCAGAATGTACAAGAGAAAGGAATATGAAGCACAAGTTTAAAAGTCATCGCATTGTTTAACAAATACAACAGTCAAATGTGAGGTGGCTGCTGCAGCAACAGCCCCATATGAACGGTTTGCCGGATCATTTGTGTGTAATTTATCTTAAGTGGTTTAACATTTCTGAATTAGCATTCACTCCGAGTCCTCCAAGTGTCACTAAAATTACTTATTTGAAACCCCTAAACAACAGGGATCGCTCAGATTCCCATCTACTGTGTACACCTATCTACTATAATCTTCTGTTCGTATTTTTGTTATGACATATATAACATTTTGAGCGGCAGAGAGACAGGCTTGATGGAATACACAGATCTGGGACTAGGAGCCCTCCTTCATCTCCTGGATATTGCAAGCTTTCATTTGATGAGAATCTGGTGATAAGATTTACTGATTGTACAGAGCTTAATGAATCTGCTTCCCTCACTGTCTTACTCAGATAAGCTATTTCCACATAGTTAAATAAAGTAAACTTCACAAACACAAGTCCCAAAAAACAGAAATAGGAAGGATATTTTGAGATATTATTACACATCATTCCCGCACTGCTGTTTTTGATATTTTCATATTTGAGCAGACGCAGCTGTAACCAGCCGAGACAAATAACTTTTACTTCTTCCATTATGGATGTACATTATTTACATAAAAAGATCAATGTCCTTGCAAAAATACAAGTATTTCAGTCAAAAATTGTTCCTTTTCAAGAAGCAAGTATAAATCTGTACAGTCTCCTCAGAGGGATTAGGCAGCACAGTGTGAACTGGTCCATCCATGCATGGGTAGCAAAACACTCGAGACCATTCATTGTGACCGTGGTTTCATAGCTTGCTGGAAGTAACTGCCAAAGAAGATGTATTGCTTTCGAGTCGGTCATAGACTCTCAACATTAAAACACATGGGGCGCTTCATCAGAGAGCTTGATGTCTGTGTGAGATGGCAGGTAGCCTGGCAAGGGAGAAGAAAGGAAAGAAACAGAGGAGGAATTTTATGTAGCTATTTGCATAAGGGTGTATTTTTGCAGGCAAACACATTTATCTTGGGTGGGTCGATTGTTTAGCTGGAGTGGAGCTAAATCAGCTGGAACTTCATAGATGTGCGTTGATGAAAATGCTTTCACCACTCGGCTGCCTTCCTGTTGTTCTAATTATTTTACTGGGTCAAATAATTCACCTGGACATTCCCATCACTTTGGCTCGCACTTGATTGTGTTTTACTTTATCTGCTCGTGCTAATATCCGACTATGGCAGGTCGGCGAATGCATAAATACGCAGCACATCATAATAAGCGCGTCTTGGCAACCCGTAAGACGACGCAGCGGGTGGAAGAGGCGCATCAGCACTTAACAATAAATGAATATCAAGCACCTCCTCGCTGTCAGTGGGCTTCAACTTGTGGAGACTCTTCCTAACTGTTGTGACAACTGCTGTGCTAAAGAGTTACTTATAGAAAAAAAAAAACCTGATTTTCCTGCTCTGGAGTTTGTTTTGGTTTTATGTGCTGACGTTGCGAAATATCTGTTTTATCAGATTTCTGCCACAACCCACAAGAGGAAAGGTGTGTTGCTCGTAGCATCAGATAATTAGATTTTTTTTCTCTTTCCAAAAACAATGTCGTGGTTATATTAGTTTCCTGGTATATTTTTAGCTTTTATTTCCGTGTCACGCCAAACCAAATGGCTTACCTCACTTAGGAATACATATTTACAACAAATCTCCTCCAAGATACACACAAAATGAGAACATCTGCTACAGCTTTGTGTGCACCTGAACAGCATATGTCCATGTGCAAAACCACAACTACAAGCTTGAAGTTACTTGTAAAATGCTTTTTTTCCCCCCTCACTGTATGCGAGTAGCCAACTCGGTCTACTTCTCAATCAGCTACATTCTCGTCAGTCTTCAGTTCTATCGGTCAGCTCCGTGAATTTGCGGGGAAACAAACTAACCCGAAATCCTGCCGACACTGTCCAGAAAAATCGCACCGGGAAAAGCATCTTCGGAATTCGTCATGCGTGCGATATGGGCTTCACGTGAAGTGATGGAAGTGTAATGTAACCATACTTTAATGGCTTCTTCCCGGGAATCGCTGTAAACTGTTTTTATAGGAGCTACTTCATTGTGGAGAAATAAATGAAAACAGTTGGCAGTGTGTTCTGTGCATTACCTAAAGCAATGGGGAAACTGTTCCAGGAAAAAGATGAATTTTCTAAATGTCATTTTCTTTTCTTTTTTTTCTCTCCTCTCGTTTTAATTGCGCTACAAATGAAATTCCGTTTACCTCCATAAGACTGGGTAAGAAATTATACAACTTTAATGACACCAACATTGGAAGTATTTTTGTTTCCAAAAAAGCAGATGCATTCAGCGTGTGCTTTGATTTTCAGGGACCTCTGAAAATCAAAGCATACATCTGAGCACACCCTGTAACTTTAAGGAAGAAATAGACACATATACCTCTGCTTTTCGAGTCCAGCTGTACGTCTACATGCTCCAGTGAGGTCAGCTTGTCCCCCTCTGGGTTTGGGACGGCTATGGAGGTCACAGTCGGGATGACCTCTTGTTCTTTATCAGGCTGCTCCGCTGTGTATGTGTTCATGCCTGGGATCTTCCTGTAGGTCATGCAGAGGGGGAAAAGAAGGGGGTTTTTAAAAAAGGCAAGTTAATGGAAACCTGCCATCAGGTCTGTTTCACTAATGCTTCCACTAAGCATAATGTGTCACATACTATTTTTAACTGTTAAGGATGGGAGAGGATGGCTTAAAAGCTGGAAACTGGGGCATTTTGCATTCCACTGGGCATTGCTCTCTCACTTTCATATTGTTCACCTCAGTTTTCAATCAATTTTTCATCCCCTCAGATGCATCCCCAATTCTGCTTAAAACTAACATCTTGCATTTCTAATTTCAGATTCTAGCCCCTTGTGATTTTGTGCTGCAGCTGGTGCTGGGACATTTGAGGGAAGCTTAAGAAACTCAAAGTTGATTTCTTAATGTACGAATTATGATCCTGAAAGTTAAAGTTAAGTAATGTTTTACTTTTATAATGAGCGAAATTTCCTCAAACTAGTGAGGAACTCGAGCATTCCCCTGTGATTGGCACGGGATTACCTGCAGCAGAGGATGCTATTTACTGTATGTCCCTCACTGTATAATATATGTTGTCTCAGGACTTATCTCCTCAACCTTTCCTGCCATTCTGCAGAGTATGCCTCACCTTGAATGGCTGTGTTTAGCATTTCCGAAAGGTCAACCCTCACATTGTCAGATAGATGAATATTGATAACTGCAGGACTCTGACACCCATTCAGCACTCTGGGAGAATTGATTAGACTGTCATTCCCTGTAATATTCTGCAGATTGAGACAGAGGGGAATTGTCTTATTCCTCGAGCTATTATTGTGTCGCCGATGTCCATAACTCAGAGATATATGGAGTCGGAATACTTCTGGAAACTTTTAGGAGTTCAGCGGTGAGGTGCTCGCTTGTAGATAATGGGAGCGGCTCTAAATAGGGCTGTGCAAACACACACTTACACACAAACAAAGCAATAACATATCCTATTGCAGAGATTTGCAATGATGTGAAAATCTGTGGATTAATTTTCGCCCGTTCTCCCGAACAGATCTCTCTTTGATTGTGCCCCTGCGCCGAGTTGCAATCTACTGCATCCAATATACTGTACCTTTTAAATTTATATATTACAAAGACGGCCAAGCCCATCAGCACGACGGACACGAGCATGATGACTGCAGTGCCGCTGTGTCCACTGTCGCTGCTGTCCACGAGAGGAGCTTTGAAGGAGAGAGATTGAAGAAGTGAGTGCACGTACAGGCCAGATCAGGATAAATGCATATACATGTATGTTTGTCTTATATGAAGATAAATTATGTAACAGCGCGATTAAAAATAAATGTAGAATCACAGCTAAGAGGGTTAACGCCCGATTAGCACTTGAGCACATAATTAAGCACAACTAATACACTAATCAAACAATTAAAACACAGAAGACAGCGCGTTCACATGTTGTGCTTTCACAATTTCATTTTAAATTATAAATCCCGTAGATTAGAATATCATCTTCATCCCCCAGACTGGAGGAGCTGCACCTGAAATGCACCTGGTTCAGGTAAGGTGTGCGGCGGACTCACCTGGAGACAGCCGCGTGGCGTACACGTTCACCTGCACCCCCGGTTTGAGTGTGAACTGGATGAGGTCTTGGTTCAGAGCACTTAGCAGAACCTGAGAGAGCTATGTGGAGTGACAGGGCAGAGAGGACTCTGTTAGCAGCAGCTGTACAGCAATATTCCACAGTCATCAATATTTCAACCGCAGTCACTTCATCCAACAGCCTGAATTATGAATCAGAATTTTTGTTTCCTCCTAAAGAGGAGCAAATGTTGATGTGACACGCAGGAAAGCAAACCACCTGCACTGGAAGCCAACAGTGTTTAGCAGGCGATGGAAACCCTATCAGGTAAAAGGGCGTCCTACTTACGGTGTGGCCGTGACATTTACGAGAAATTAATTAATTTCTCCCACAGCAGGCAGATTTTACACGTATATTTCTTATTTTAAAGAGAATGTGATTTACCCATTTAAAAGTTCAATGAGGCAACGTTATTGGAAATCAAAGTATGTTCTAATATCACCAAATTGCTGTTTTAATTTTTCTCCCTGAAGTGCCTCAAGTTCCCCTGCTTTTCACACCTTGATGAAGCAGTCATTTAACAAGAGACCAAAATGCCTTCCCAGTGCCCATTTGAGTCCTTAGCTATGCCTCACTAATTCCATCTCGCTCTTTCTAAAATCTTTCCACTGGTTAAAATTAGACTGCTCTACACAGTATGAATAATTACTTTTTGTTCTAGTGGCATATCAGGGTCAGTAAATCTATTACACATTTTAATAAGCTGCTCCACACATACACTCAACACATGCACATGTGTACGTGTGGGCACACACTCACTTAATGCCTCCGCATTGCAAGTCATTCACAGGAGATGAGAACAGTGAACTGAAGATTTATTACCCTATTGTCTGTGAGGTTCTGCCAGGTAATCAGACAGGCTTTAGATAAATACATCTCTTTAATTCCCAATCCAGGCCGCCTGCCCCAGTTTGTCTCCTTTCTCGATGGTGCCAATTATATGATGCATCAATGTAATTAAATACCTATTAACTTAGTTCAAGACTGACTGGGAGCCAGCAAAATTATGTTTACTTGTGATACATCGCAGTCCTCTCCGTTATGATGAATAAATGAGCTTGTCTAGCCTTTGCTCTGCTGTTTTGTTTACCTATTTGACAGCATTCCAAAAACATGATATGAGATCAGTTTCTAGGAACCTTTTTTTTTTTTTAAGAGAGTAACAGCAACCGTGAAGCACGGCGGCTTGAAGGGATGTTATTATAATTATCTAAAGGTTTACGCTGGTGTCTTTAACTTCTGCAAGGTGGCGGTAGGTCTCATGACACGTTTCGAGATACTTTGTCGGTGTTATTTCAGTGCTGTGACGGATGCAGATTTAGTGCTTTTACATGGGAAGACATTGCCCTCTAGTGGTGATATTTTGTATTGCGCTTCAGGGGGGATTGAGACACAAGGTGCATGTGTGGGAACATTGAATTATTTTGCACTTTAGCAAAGACGATGCAAAATTTTTTAGGAACTTTTGTGAACCAATGAGTGCAATCAAGGTGAAAAAAAGTTTGTTTTGCAAAGAAAACAAGTTTGTGTCGCATGATTATAAAATCTGGAATGTAGTAAACTGAGAAGTGGCTGTTTGATCGTTTCTGCAGGGATATTCTCTGCTATCTGGATGATGAAAAAGTACGGCGCTGCTGTTGAACTTACGGTGCTGTTTGAGATGAGATGGGTCCTATGTGCCTGCATGCTAATAACAAGCAGCCTATAGAAAACACATTCCTCTTGTTGTCTGTGTTTTCACTTAATGGACCACACCAGAGTTTGTGCATGTTTTAGCCCAATTACCACAAAAAAATGTACAGTCCTCATTACTGCTGACCTTTTCCGAGGCATAACATTGTGTTTTTCCTGCCCACAGTGCAGCCAGTGGCGTCGATTCATTTAACTGTGGTATGAAAATACATTTGCAGAGACTTTAAACTTGGCTGACTTAGGCAATCCATCACCATGAGCATCATGTCTGCATTTATTTTTGTCAAAGTTAACCTTATTGCCGCGTGGCGATGGAGTGCAGACTTTCCAAATCAAGCTGCACTTAAAACGGTGTTACTATGCAACGATAATGTAACTCTGACAGAAATAAATGCGGACATGATGCTCATTGTGATGTATTGCCTCACCGTAACAAGTTTCAAGCCTCTACAAGTTGATTTTCTTACAGGACTGAAATGAATAGAAATGATGGCTCTGTGCACGGTAGAGAAAAGGATTCAAATGGAAAAAATCATCATAAAAGAGCTGGGAAATAACAAGTGGTTATGCAGAATATGTTTGATTTTTTTCCCCCTCCTCTTGTATAACAGAATTTGTATCTCAAATAAATAAAAGGAAAAAAAATTGGGCCACGGAACAATAGTCTGTACTCAGAGATAAGACCTGGAGGTATCTGTGCAAGTATTGTCTCTGTTTGTTCTATTTTGATTACAGTGCAAACTTACTTTAAAGACCAACAGAGAGACGGTGCAGCTGAGATGTAACCTTTTCTTTGAAACACAAACACATAGAACCGAAACTCCAAAAACAGGGCTTGACTGTCTGTGTCAATCGGAAATTGGAGAAAGAATCTGACATGATGGAGGACGAATGTAGGAGAAAGTCAGAAGAAGACTAAACAAAGATTACACAAAAAGGTTGTTTCGGGACAAAATCTATGCTTGCAGGCAAAGTGGTTAAAAATGGCTGACCACTTTCATATATTTCTGGCCTTAAACTTAAGACTTTGATTTATGACGGTGGACTACACAGTAAGTTGTAGATAATGAATAATGTATTCTATGTATCACTGGAAAGTTGTGTGAATCTTGTATTGTCCATGTTAGCCTGCTCTTGAAAATAGATATAAAAAAAGGTGCAAAACAAGATTCTACTAAGAGAAACATCCAAAAATATGTGAGGTTTTGTCTTTTTAATACAACAATGGAGCTTAAACTGATAACTCGACGGCGCTGTATGACACTCAAAAGTAAAGGACGTATTCTCCAGGGAGGTTCTCTCCAGAGACAGTCTCTTAACTTCCCTGCTTCCTTTTTTTTTTTTTTTTTTGGATCACAGAAAAAACCCACATGGTACTGAGCGTCTGCCAGGGGCCATTAAAATGATTTGATGAGGCAGTACCTGATCCAGGTGCGCCCACTTTTCATCCGTGCCTCTGTCTCTGGCCCTCTTCTCGGGCACAATGAAGATCTCTGCTGTGGTTGGTAACCCTGGGAGCACTGTGACCAGGAGTTGATCCTCGCTGATTCCTGTGACCTTTAATAAGAACAACAAAAGCTCATTAAAAAAAAAAGGTCTGAGGTGATAGTCGACGCTTTTGGCCCTGAAATTTGATCCTTGGGGGTCGCCGGTATTAATGCGTAAATACTTTCTGCTTTCTGCTTCATATATCATTTGCCTAAGTAGCAGTCACTGTCAGGGTATAATGCACGGATCAAGCTGAACATGCAAGTTCAATTTGACAGTCTTTGGTAAAGGCCAGGGCTCTTAGTGCATTTATGCCATAACCAGAGGTCTGCTGTCAGTTTCCTGGTGTAAACTATGGTAATATCTGACAAGACAGAAGGTCAAAGTGAATGTTTCATACTGAGGGCTACTGTAGGATATATATAGAGCTCGGTATCCAGGTCTTTTACATAACCTGCTGTGTTTTTGACATCCCCACAGTGTCTGAAAGGGGAAAAACCCAGACACACTTTGCCACAATTAGGCTTCTTTTACTTGAGGTTTTGGTGTTCTCTCAGCAGCAGATGTGGCTCGGCTCACTTCCGTAGTGTCCCCGAGCAAGACACTGAAACTGAATTTGCACCCGACGGGCAGGCTAGCATCTTGCCCGGCAGCTCAGCCGACATTGATGCATGTGTGTGTGTGAATGTGGAAAGAGATAGTAAAGCGCTCCGTAAAGCACAAGGCTAAAAATATGACATATACAGTAAGTGCAGTCCATTTAGCATTCAGCAGTGTTTTTACTCTGTTTTTATGTTTTGACGAGTTCAGTTGAAAAGCTCGCACTGGCAGCAATGATTTCTGATGATGAGCTTTGTCACATCTGAGGTTAACAACTAATTACACAGCAACTGAGGTTAAAGACCCTGCAACTAGTGGAGTGAAACACTCGACAAGATCACATGAATACATTACGAACGCAGCATAACAACGAATGGAAATGTTGCTGGTGCACTCGACGGAGACTTGAGTTTTTTTTTTCTTTCCACACTTAGTGCAAAGTTGCTAAAAGCCAGAATCTAAATGAGGTCTTCTGGAGATTTTGTTACAGCCTTCGCGATGCTAGCAGCTAAAGAACTGACCTGAACCATGCAGCTCTTCACAACTCTGCCGATGTCCTCCCTCCACTCGGACACCCCGGGGTTCAGCTCGTCCAAATTAGAAGAAAAGGCCAAGACATGTGACCGGAAATAATCTGAAAAAGCAGGCAGAAATCTTCTAACTTGAGGATACAGAATCTCTACACAACGGTCCATTTCTGATACTTCAAATAACCCTTACCCCGATCGTGAGGCCATCTGCACAGAGTCGATTCTGTATTTCCATCAGAGAATATGGACAATGCTAGACTGAAATGGCCACATGATTGCTAAATGGAAACTGACAAAGAGGCGCTAGACGTATTTCTGTCTGAAAGCTCAGTCTCTTGCGTAATATTTTTTGTCCTGTGACCTTCTTAACTCCGCTCCTGATCCCTATGCATGCACCATTACTTACGCCTTAATTCTCGACTTTCTTTATTAGGTACTCCGAGACAAGACGGTTGGAGTTCCCTTGATAAAATATATTGATCTTGCACTACAGGCAGAAAGGAAATGAACTGCTGCTCGCTGGAGGTCGGCTTTACTGCTAAATCATTCATCAGCTTCAAAGAGTAGCCCCAGGATTTCACAAAAATCTGGCATTTTCATATGAATTTAGATTTTTGACATTTAGACACTACATAAATCAGAAATAAAAAGAAATTATGTGAATCTTGATGTATAGCTCGAATGTGTATGTGTGTGTGTGTTCACAGTTTCTAGTTGTGGTGGGCCTCCTGCATGGATTCTCTTCCGAAGCTCAGTGATGTGGCAGCCTTGGGTACGTACTGTTTCCATGTCTTGTAGGCTACATGTACACTAACGCAAAACTATATTAATTGTGAAGGTAAAATGATTTTTCCAATAAGAAACAGCTTACATAACTGTTACCAGCGAGGCCATTCCACATGTAAACGATTTAATTTATCAGAGTAAAATAAAAAAAAGTTGTGCTTCAAACTTCATTCATGACCTTGCAATTATTAATTTGATTAAATGAATTATTTTAATGCTTGGTTAATTAGATTTGTCTGCTTCATTCAATCATATCTCACGGCCTTAGAGAATGGGGTCTTCACGTGGCCAAAACCCTTTTTTAAAAAACAATTAAATCATCTCCATTCCAGCTCAACAAATCCTCAGCTGATGAAGGCCATGAAATGTGGATAAAAGCTCCAAAAAAAAGCAGAGTAAGTGAACCTTTTTAATTTTTTTTTCCACTGTAAAAAAAAAGCCATAAAGTTCTCAGGTCATTTACTGACTCACGCTCAGTTTGAAATAAACTAAATTGTCTCCACATTTTTCATTTAATTATGATATTAAGAGGTTGTTTAAGTGCACTGAGTAAAGAAATATGAGCGTAACATAAAAAATATTACGTACCATAAACCGCCACCCTCATTTGGTCCTGATGGACGGTGTTGCCAACCGAAGCCTGAACCGTGACTGTGTGACTTCCCTCCTTGGAGAAGGTGAAGGATATCGCTCCGTCGAGGGTCACGAAAGGCTAATAAAGCAGTGAGACAAGCAATGAGATGTATCTGCTGGAAACATTTCAGTAGCTGGGCAGAGAACCTAAGCCGTACCTCTGTTTTGTTATCGAACCACCAGAAATAAGTGACTGTTCCCACGTTGCTGGGCCGCAGCGCTGTTGTGAGGTTCACCGCTTTGTTCTTGACGACCACAGAAGGAGCCGAGAGCTGGACCTGCTCGAGCTGACCTTGAGAGAGGAAAAAAAAAAACACGCGAACCACAATGTCACACCTTTTTGTTAAATCCTGGATAAATACAATACCGCCGCGGTGCTCAGCGTTCCAACTGAAAGCCACGTGTTTTGGCACAACAGCCTGGAACTCACCGAGCACATTGACGGACGGCGTGGAAGCTGATTGTGCTGCAGGAGTGCTTTTGACAAGTGCCTGTTGGATGTTTTGATGCTTTACGTGGCCATGAAAATGACACCATTGGAATCCATTCTAATGAGTCGAATTCAAGCTGACCACCGGCGCTCTTGCCCGTCGGTGAGGAGCCGGCAAACAGCTGTCTCTCACGGCCGTGCCTGATGAGTGACACTCAGAACTTTGAATGGAGGTGTTTTGAATGGAGTCTCACTTTAATGAGCCAATTTGAAGCTGCGGAAAAAGTGTATCCGCTCAAGTGTTTTGAGTTATTTTCTCTTTCTAAAGGCTCACAGGTTGAAGTGTTTTGAGTTATTTGAAGGCTGTTGGACCTTAAAATCTATGATTAGCTGTGATAAAGATGAGGACTGTGAGTTATAGTGTAGTCACTGTAAGCAAGCTGAAGTGACTCCATAACGCATTCACTTCATTAAGTGGCTGGAAACACGCCGTGTCAGCGAGTGTAAAGCCTTTTACACTACATCCACGCTGGAACTAAAGGTATACTGCATGGTTTTTACATGCTTTAGCAGCAACTTACAAAGAAGCAGCTCTTATTTTTGACTCACAGGAGATGTGGAGGTAAAGCATGACCCTGTCCAGGCCCAGATTGTTGCTCGCTGTAGCTGAAACTTGGTAGATGCCAACTTTACTGTAGATATGCTTGACCCCGTCATCGATGGAGCTTATGTTAACGTACGATATGGCAGTTCCATCACCGAAGTCCACCGTTATACTTGTCATGGAGCCGAGACCCTTCAGAAAGAAAACAAAATGCTGTCACTCACTCTGTAACCTCCGTTGTTTGTTACTGTCTCCGCTGACACATAACAGACTGCATTTTCCATAATATCTACAAGAACGAGGTCATGTTGTAAATCATGTCACCGCATATTTATTTGATACGCCGGTGCTCCAGCCTCTGCGCTGCGTCTCTGACAGCCTCCTGATGTACACTACACTCAAGGCATGCGGCCTACAAGTATCTCTATATATTACACATGACTTTGCGTAAGTGAAGTCAGTACCTCCTCCAGAAAGACCAAGAAGGTGACATTCTTCCCCAATGTTGCGACCAGAGTTCCCTCGCTGGTGAAGAGCTGGAGGCCCCTGGGAGCCTGACTGGGACACTTTTGCCGCCTGGGGCTGTACTTCACCAGGCTTCCCTCGGTGCAGTTGTTAGACAAAGCCCTGCGATATCTGGAGTTCATTAATGGAAAAATAAAAAAAACAAAACAAAGATGAGCTTTTCTTGAGAGTTAAAGCAGACGCAGCACACACAGAAGGAGACATTCATTAAAGATATTTCTGTCTGCAGTAGCCCACAGCTCTATCAGATGAGCTTAATTAGCCCTTCGTCAACAGCGGCCGTCCACCAATATTACAAATGTGTCCTTTTCAATTGACCTGGATGATATTTATCACTATTAATAATTACATAAAATGAATGTATTATTGTCACATAAAATCCAGTTATCACGTGTTGCTAGCAGGTGTTTGTTTTCTTTCCAAGCAGTCTCGGTTGCAGCATGTGATGCTGAGGCTGGTGTGAGGCATGAGGTCGGCCTTATTGTAGCTGGCAGTTCATTAGTGGCAATAAATATATCAAAGATCAGCCTGAACCAATTCTTTTAGTCCAATTTGTGCTCTGTATTTTCTGTTTAACACAAATCTGTGGATACATACAGTATGTTTTTAATTATTTAAGCTTGTCCACAATCTTTTTATGTATCCAGCGATGACTGAAGCCGTGGTTTCCTCCTGACTGGGAATTTCCAAATATGCATGCATGTGTTTTTTTATCTGTTTCAAACTCTCATTGACAGTGCATCAGAAAATTACCATATTCTCACAGTATAGCAGGGTATTTTCAAGAAAGTTTAACTTAAAGGTAACCAAGGACATTTGTGCATCCTCTGCTTCCTTCGCTTGTGTCAGTACAAACGACTCAGACGTACCCCGTGGTGTTGAGGAAGCTGTCTCCTGTGATGCAGTCTCGAGACGTTGCAGAAGGAACGAACCAAAAAGCCGGAGTGCAGCTCCCGTCAGTCTGCCTCTCGAACCCGTAGTCACTGTTTTCAGCGAGAAAAAAAAGACACGGCGGCTTGTTAGGACGATTAGGTACCGTTTATTTGAAACATGGAATAGAACTAGTCAGCTCAAATGGAGTCAGAAAGTGAGCGTTTACTACGAACAGAAAGGATCTACGATGGAGAGAAAAGTTCTCACAACGCGGCGGCTCTGAGCGTTTCAGGTTTGATGTTTTATGTATCAAACTTCTGGAGCAGAAAAAGCACTGCTTGTGTTTACACAAACTATAATTACACCTTGGCAAAGTCACATTTCTTTCATCGTGATGAGGGAAGCGATCTCAGGAGTCACTAGTCTTTTAGTAATAAAGTCGTGTTAAGCTTGTAAAATGTAGTCTGTTCAAACAGCACCGGTGAGATAAAAAAAAAAAAAGGAGAGAAAAGGAAGTGTGAGACAGTGTGAAGTTATGTAGAAGTATTAAACACTTGTTAGCCATAGAGAGGAAGCTTATATTAGAGTCTAGAGCGAACCATTAGTGTTATTCATTATGTAAATCTATTCAAGTGCACTTGAAAGATGCAGTGTACTGCTATCACAGATTTGATTGCGAGGGATGGGCTTCAATAGTTTCTGTAATCTTCTGTCAGTTGTGATGTGATGATATAATCACAGAGCGTGGCGTTTTTAGAAAATAAAACCAGGAATTCCTAATTATTTAGTCCAAGGAAATTGTAGTTCATTTAAAAAAAAAAAACACAGCGAATTGGTTTGAACATCATGTTGATTTATGAGATGTCGTTTTTTTCATACCTTTGGCACCTTGTGATTCACACACGAACAGCAAAAACAGGAATATTACAGTCCACAATAGCACAATAGCTCTTGGACAACCAGGAAATCATCTGTTCTTGATAAAAAGCAGTCAAACCTCACATACCTGATGGCACGTTTGCAACAGAAACGGGAATAAATAGTTGTGAATTATAAAACACAGCTCTTCAAATTCACGTCTTGTTGTTCCTCAGGTTCCCTTCACAGACTCTGCCTCTGGAGGTTGATAAAGCGTTGTGCATTGGATTTAATGAAGTGAAAAGAATATAGCTGCGGAGAAGGCAACTCACCACTCAAAATCTGCCTCTGTGCAAGGGCAGGAGTCTGACATCTGGGAAATATACTGATCTCTGGCCTTGACACATCGAACGTTTGCTTTCAGTTTTTGGAAGATTCTCTTCATTCCCATGATGCACACTTCACCCTGTGATGAATAATGCATCATAAACATTTCTGAGCTTCTTCTTACAGTCTTTTTTTTTATTATTGTGCCCCTCAATCAAAGTGATTCATTTGAGTTTAATCAACGACAAGAGTCTTCTCGGTACGAGCAGCCAAGTATCAGAAAGATCCCCTTTACCTCATTGTGTAACTGCCACGTCAGATAATCCTCAGATGTGCACTGCTGTTGGAAAATGGACCGGAAGTCGATCTTGACAAGCTGCCACTCAGATCGATGGCTGAAGTGACCAAATATTCTGCACAAACGAAGCAGAGAAACAAGATCAGAAAAATATTTGCTATATGGGGCAGAATCATGAAAGTTGGCGCTTGAAAAAAACCTTACGACTAATTTCAATCCGCTGTGGGAGAGAAACTCTTCCTCTACATCTCGCGCTTATGAACCCATTTCAAACCCACATTAAATAAAACCAAGAATATTTATGGACTCTTCTGAGCCTTCATCGGGGTAATATACTGTATAATTACAGTGGGGGTAATTAACAAACTGGAAACATATCATCTCTTTATGGTTCCTTCACATCTTACGTCATTATGAGGGTGTCCTCTCCAGGCTCCCCCAGCACCCCATCAACATAGAGCGGAGAGGAGGTGAAGCTATATTTGTCCCAGTTTCTGCCCTCATCAAAACTCAGCCTGAGGGAGAGAACAATGGTTGGATCACAGACAGACCAGCCACAAATAGAGCTGAATTCAGTGAGAAAAAGTCTCAGCAGGAAAGCAATCTCTGCTGCTTGTTTTGAAGATTGAATACAGTCTCTAAAAAGACGTGGTACATCCTTGGAGAGCCTTACCAAATGTGTCTAATTGGCAGAGGTGTGTGTCGGATGGCCACCAGAGATCCTCCTTGATTCAGGAAAAACACACTGTACTCTTCCTGAAAAACCTGCACACACACACAACCGGCTTCACTTTATCACAGAGGGAGAAAAAATTCTACACAAAGCATTACACCAACATAAGGAACATGCATGCTCACAATAAAACAAACCACAACTGCTCTTTACGCAGTTGCGCGTATGAATAAAAGCATCAAGTGAGTGTTGCTCTGTTTGTTGCTTTTTTTTTTTGTTTAGTTTTTTTTTAGGAGTGTTAACCCAATGGCAAAAATCTGTTTGCTCCTTTTGGTTTATTTGTTTTAAAGATCAGAGATGCACAAGGCTGTCTGTCAAACTCTCTCCTTCATTTCTTTGTGACTGCAGCACCGGCAACTGAAAAGCGAAAAGAAATGAAAGTTGGCACTGAAATGCTCGCATTCCTAGTTTTTCGTTCTCTTGTTCTGTATTCGCATAATGCCCTAGTAAAGTCATATATTTTTTTCAATTTTGTTTTGAATGAAATTGAGTGAAAGTTCAAGGGAGAGACGACGTTCATCACAGGAGCGCTCGGATTTGTCGAGTGAATGAAAGAAAAAAAGGAAAGAAAAACACAATGATGCTCAGAAAAGTGCATCCACGAAGCACCGGGGCAGAGATGCAGGCATTGTACGGGCGCCAGTATTACAAAGTGTACCCACAGTCCGAGTCAGTTATCACACCGTACCTCTCTCCAGGTGTTTCCAGCGTCCGATGTGATGAAGACGCTGACATTAGTGTTGGTGAGCTCAGGTCCAACCACACCTGAATACAGAAACAAAAGGGTAATTTTAAACCTCAATACACCAAAAAACCAAATCAGTATAGATGCTTCAGATTTTTCTTTTTTTTTTAAAGTTTAGTTTATTTATCTCAAACTATATATATAAAAAATAGAGAATAGGCAATGCATATATAATAAGCATTATTGAGAAATCTAGTACAACTTTAATAAAAGATTAAAAAAGCAGAAAAGAAGCTGATGTAAATATAATAATGCCCACGTATGTCAACTTATATCGAGGTTGAGAAAGAGCAAAATGAAAAGCCTATCTACTTCTGCCCCTTCTTTACAGTGTCAGAAAACAAACTAACTAATAAAAAAAAAAAAGAAAAACAAGACAGAGAACAAACTATAAGGTGCTCATCATGGACGCAATGCCACAAAACTACGTCCCTTATAACCTCCAATCATCACACAATATCCACCTAAAATCAATTTACATTTGAATGTTTATCCAGAAAAGACAACGAGAGTTCTATTTTTTTTTAAAAATCTTTCTCGTGAATTAACATGGCACAAATGTGAGAAAAAGAAATACTTCATTTAATTTTGCAAATTGTTGTCTGCAGAGGAAGCCGGCGCTGGGAACAGGACGGGAAAAAAGCAGATACGACTGCGAGTGCTGAGGATACGATCAAAGAGCAGCATCGAGACGGTGAGTAAACAACAGTATGGATGTGCAAATGAAAGTGCGAATCGAATAATCTTCTCACCTGATGCTATTATAATTCCTGGAGCCGAATCTTTGCTGACAATGTTTCCCGAGGTGTAAGGATTCTCCGATACATGAAGGTGTAGATGCAGCGAACAGTAAGGCTGCGAAACACAAAAGGAGATTAGTTTTGCACGAGTCAAAATGTGAAAATGAAGGTTTGATACGGCTCTGATTCAAGTCAAGACGATTTTGTTTGCATAGAACATTTAATACACAAGTAAACTCAAAATGCTTTATGGTAAAGCCTCGAACATCATTAAGCAGATGACAAACACACACACACACGCTGAAAAAATGTAGATTTCTTTAAAACCCCTCTTAAGTATTCCTTTGTAACTCCCGAGTTGTAATCCGTGGGCGAGCAGCGTTCACACAGGGATTACAACAGTCGCACATACACATTAACAACGAGACACAACCAGATGCCTGACGGGAAAGAAATGTTTTAAGACTGCTTTCACAAGAAGATACAGCTGCAACAGGTCAGGAGGCAGTTTGGTCCAGAAAACGGCACCATAGTAACGAAACGCACCTTCACCTGATGCAGTTTTAAGCCTCAGGTACACTCAGGAGACACATATTTGAGGATCTGAGGGGTCAGATGGTAGCCGGTGAGAAAGTTGGAAATATATATGTTGTTTAGGACTTTGCACAAACTGCTCCGTGAAATTAATTGTGAAGTTGTTAGAGAAATATTTTATTTGTTATTATGAAAAAAATGGCGACTCTTTGGATATAGACTGTTGTGGCAGAGAGAAGAACTGAACGTCTGTGGCACACACTAGAGTGACAGTTTGTTTAATTCATGAATAAATAGACTGAAATGCAATTATCAACTTTTTTTTTATTAAAGCAAAAAATGCAACGCACGGCTTTCAGCTTCTCAAATGTGATGTTTTGTTCATCGTGAATATGTTAAAACTGAACGTGTAAATGAAAGAACTGTTGGAACAAAGCAGCTGTTTGGTTGTAGCCCTCAACCACTGATGACACGCTGGAAGCTCGGTACGGATGAATCAGTTTAACTCCTCGACTTATGTTTACCGACCTTCTAAGTCTGAATGAAAATGTGTGTTTTCAGTTTAATGTGCTCCGTCTTACTACATCCTCCTGAATTCATTTGAAGGCAGCGGAAAACATCTCCAGCTCCAGATTTGACAGACTGGCTAGATGCAGTATTAAAGATAACATCTCATGAGTGCAGATTAAAAGGCAGTTTGGATGATGGGATGTGTTCGTGGGACCTTTCTTGGACTCGTAAAATAGATGTAGAGCCTATTTAGATTTCATTTATGGCTAAGCATCTCATCTGTGCGGGATTGTTTTCATTGTAATTTTAATTCATTGTTGGCTGGGTCTGACACTTTGGCTTATTTATTTATTTATTTCCCCCCCATCATGTCTTTTCAGTGATGTCTTCTCCTGTCACTGTGAACAGATGTGAAGCTTTACTTACTACCACAACTTTTTCTTTGAAACAAGTGAAAACTTACAGGCTGAAAACAAATAAGTTAAAAAGATTGTAGAGCTTTTACTGAATGATGGCAAAAGAATGGTTTTTATGACTTAACTTATCAAATCAGCTGTTGAAATTGAAATACCCTTTGAAACAGGTGAAGTTTACATAGTTACAATTTACAAGTACTGCACTCAGGCACAGTTTTCCCATACTTGTAATTTACTTTTTAAATTTTATACCTCGACTCTGCAACCGTTCAGAGCTATTGTACGTTCCACTTCACTTCATTTTATCTGACGGCTTTTGTCACTTTTAAGATGAAACTTGCGACATAATGACATCTTAAAAGAGCGACTTTCTAATCTTTTTAACTTTCTAAAAGCATTGTGTTGTCAAGGCCACATTTCAGACATCTGGGAGTCAACAGCGCCGTCAAATAATGACACTTTTCACATCGTTTCATTTCAATAACTTGTTTAACTGATCAAATATCTCGCAAAAACTCAGAGGGAATCTACGGACGGAACAGAATCTGCATTACAACTTTGTTTGTTCTTCTTTCCTTTCCCATTAATCATGTGAAGACCCCTGAGATTTATCTGCTGTCCCTGTTTATAAAACTATATATAAAGTAGTTCAAACCTGCTGCAGCTCCAACAGTAACTGCTGCTGACACAATCTAATGATGCCATAATAAATTAGTCAGAGGGACCAAATCAGGGTTTTACTTTAATACTTCACCTACGTTTTGCTTCAGCAATATTCTTCATGCAGGACTTTTACTTGTAATGGAGCTGTGTTGGTACTTTTACTTAAGCAAAGGATCTGAATGCTTCTCATATCACTGTTCTGAGTTCATATTTTATATGTAGGGAGTGTTTGGAAGTGTGTAAATCCATTAAGAGGAGCAAAAACCGAGTGAAGTTCCTTGCTTGGCCGATAACAAAGTTGTAGTCATGACAGTAGACAATTTTTAGAAATATGGCTGTTCGCATCTAAAAATATAATATGATCATTTTAGAATTTTATCATAATTTTTGGGGGGTGAAATTTAGTCTTCTTGAGCTGAGGAGCGGCAAAAAAGTATTAATGTACAGCACGCTAATATCACCTTAATCATTCTGGTGCAATGTGTTCAGTCTTGCATGTTACACACACACATATATATATTATACAATATCATGTTAAAATCTTTTTCCAAATCCTAAAATCCTAACACAACAATGGTAATTTACCAGCTGCATATTTTGCTATTTCATTCGGGACAGTTATTTTTAGCACAACATTAAGTATTACTCTTAAAGTGTTGAGCAGAATTTGCCAAACTAGACAGAAGGTATGCTAAATTATTTGAAAGGTGTCTTCAGCCACTGACATATTCAGGGCTGTGTTGCTATGCTACACGGATTTATTCACACTCTTTGACCATGGTATGGTGAGATTCAGCGCAGTATTTTTGCGAGCAGATAATGGAAATCCAAATAACCAAATCTATCTCTTGTCAGTGGCCCACTTACTTGTTCACAATAGACCTTGTTTCCCTGGAGATCGGTTGTTGGAGCCTGAAGAAGACGCCAGTCTCTCCCCTTGTTGTATGTGATATAAGTTTTCACTTGGTTCTCAACAACTTTATTTGACAGGAACACCCCTTTAATCCCGGCAACCTGCGAACATGAGAGGCGGAGAGCGGTAGGGGGAAAAATAACAAAAAAGGGAGGGGAAAAAAAATAACCGTAAATTATTCAAACTTAAGTAAAGCTGAAGGCCTAGTTCGGAGAGGAGAAGAGATATCTGAAAGTGATAGTTTTTCTGACATGGAGCACTATTTTGGACCATCTGTAGGACGGCTGAATCAAAACAACATATGGCACAGCCCTGAGATATTTCTTCTTCTTTGTATTTATATGCACAGAGATGCAGACGCTCACATGAAGCTATCACTTGAGCTCACATTTCTCCTCCATTTTGACAAATCTTTGTCAAAAGCAAAAACAACAATTTCATATTTTTTAACTGGTCACTGCAGCCAAGTGTTTCTGGGCAGAAAATGTGTGTCGAGGTCAGTGTAACCACTGCTGATGGCTATCTTAGGTCTGTAACAACGTGATGCTTTTACTGCTGGCTGGAGATGAGGATAATCTAGAGTGATGCATACATGTGCAGTCACTACAACCTCATACTAGATCTGTCAACACAGATATACCACGTTCAGGGCACAAGTTAAAGCTCCTGTTTTGCCTACATGGTGACTGAGGGCTTTCAGGGACAACAGTGTGTGCTTTTTTTTTTTTTTTTTTAAATGCGTGTATAGATGATACATCATCTAAACACCGAACCTACTAAATTCATGTGCAATAATGTCACATGAAAAAGATAATAAAAGCAGCAATAAAGTGGGTATAAGAGAGACACTCAGATGCTGCTGAATGAACAAAATGTACTAACATCTGTTCCATTATGGTGAGGACATCCAAGACATCTGAGCACAGGGTACACTTAAGAAAAACACGGCAGAAAAATCAAGAGTAACTCTTAGGCTGTCTGTCGGTACTTTGCTTGTCAGAGTCGGTTTTATTGTTGAAGAAAGCTCCAAAACCGGGAATTTAAATTTGTATGGAGCCTCTTGGGTTGCATGTTATCCTCATGCTACCTTCACTGTCCTCTTCCGGTAAAAAAAACAAAACACTAGATATAAAAAGGATGGAGGCTCTTAATTGGAGGTGATATGAGCGGATTGATAAATTAAATTAATAGTAGTTGTATTTTAAGGCTACATCCACACTAATATGTTCCTTTTAAGAGGCACATCTTCTGCGACTCGTGTCCACATTCATCTGGCGTCGAAAACCGAGACTGTTAGAAACACTGCTGACCCTTTTTCGATTAAAAAATCTTGGGTTGTAGTTTAGTCTGTGTGGGCAGAAAAAGACATTTTTAGAAATGAAGACACCCATGTTGCTTAGTCGTTGGTTGGTTCAACATGGATAATGAATTGCAGGGGTTGCTAGGCTTGTTGTCTATGCTTGCAGCTGTTGTGCAATTAAAGAAATCTCTGGTCTTACTTTTCCCCATCGCTGTTCTCCCGCCGCAGTATTTTCAACAACAACAAAGCACCCGAGCCCCTGTTTTGTGTGTAAGTGAACGGTAATGTAAGATGCGTTTTCAGGGCTGTTTAGTGTACACACGCGTTGTTTCTGAAGTGGAGCTATAATGCTTTTCAAGAGGAAGATCTTCTTCCTTTTAAAACACTGTTTTCAAATGAAGACACATTACTAGTGCAGATGGAGCTAAGTAATATTTGTCTGATCAGTCATCGCAGTATGTGTAATGTTTTCTCAGGAACACAAAGCAATTATTTAATCAAATAGTCAACTAATGAATAAGTTGAAGAGAATTATAGTCTGCAATTATTTTTTTTTTATGATCAGTTAACAAATATTAGACGAATGAGTGTTCCAGCTTCAGAAATGTGACAAATCCTTCTCCTTGTCTAAAAATGATAGTGAACTAAGTCATTTTAGGGTTTTGGACTGTCAGTCGGATAAAACCTGACATCTGATAGCATCACCTGAACTCTAGGGAACTACAACAGGTAATTTTCACCCTTTTCCGACAATTTATAGACCAAGAATTCAGCAGAGAATGTTTGGTAGATTAAAGGTCCAAGTGTGCAGAATTTCATGGCAGCTAGCAGTGAAGTTGCAGACTGCACGACACCTCGCTTCTCCTTCCTCTTACAAGCGTGTCACAGAACCTATGGTGGCTGCAAAAAGACCCACAGGTCCTCTCTAGAACCACTGTTTGTTTTGTCCGTTCTGAGTTACCATAGAAACATGGCAAAGTCCGAGGAAGAGGACCCATTCCTTCTCTCTGAAAGGCTCATTCTAACATAATGAAAACACAACAGTTCTTATTTCCAGGTGATTATATGCAAATAAAAGCATGCAGATGAGTATTGTATTTCTTTTCTGCCAATAGAGCCCTCGAAATCCCACATAATGGACCTTTAACTGACGATGGAAATAAGAATAGTGGTCTAAAATCCACAATAGTGAAGTCTGACAATTTGCAAGAATATTAAACAGACGAAACAGCAAATATTTAAGTTTGAGCTGCAAATTGAAGAGCCTAGAGATGCTAAATATTTAGCATTTTTATTAGATAGATGACATAAATGATTACCTAATTATCACAATTGTGTAACTACTAATTCGCTAACTTCAGCTATGCAAAAATATACATGTACAGGATATGTGGGCATGAACACATTTTCCTGCAGAAAAGAAAATAACCTTGCACGCATGACTGGGCTGATCATTGCTGAAATTAGTGAGAATGACTCGTCTGATAGTAAATATTCATGAACATTGTCCCGTAATTGCAGCAGATACAACACCAGGCCGGTTATTTAAGTGGGCCCGGCTTAGCACGCCTCACTAATACGAAAACATGTATTGAGATGATAGCATCGCCCCAACAGCCCCGTTCCTGCCTACCTCATAGAGGTCTATCATGATGTTGCCCTCCGGACCGCCGCTGCTCACAACGTCCTCCAGCATCAGGGTGAAGAACAACCCTCTGGACTCAGACATGTACAGGTTGTAGGAGTCATTCTGGTGCCAGTCCTGAATCGCTGCCACCACCTGGTTGTCGTCGGTGCTGATTATCTGCAAGTCCTGAACATGTGGGATTCATGAGTAGACTTCCATGTAGATTAGTCCGCTAATCAGTTGATAGGAACTGATTTAAAGGAGGAAAAAAAAATGCAAAGAACTGCGCACACAGGGGCCAAACAGACAAGCTAGCGATCTGTCACTTCTTTGACATAATTCAGCAATTAGACCTCAGGCGTTTCATGCCATGCACTGGGAATGAAGACAGGCTCCATTTAATAATACCGAATCCCTTATTCACAGTGAAGCATGGGAGGCGATACGCGTTCTTCTTCGGGAAATTTTCACAGTGAACACGGCTGGACGGATGGATAGACAGATTTATCGAAACAACACTGCAGGCACTAAATCTCTCCAGTTGTTATGGTCTCTCAAACCACTAAGCCACCCTGCTGTGCTTCTGGTAAATGGAAATCAGTGCAGTTTTGTGCAAACACAAATGGACTTTTCTGCCTCCCAAAGTTGCATTGGAGTTCTGGAGAACGCCGACTGTGTAGCTCCAGATTCATTTTTTAAGCAAATATCTGTCAATACAGCGAGAGGGAAAGTGGAAAAACTCTGCGTGGGTCTTAAATAAACAGATCTAAGCCTATAATTGTGCATAACTGAATCAATTTTCAGGAGAACAGTGATGCTGGGAAACCAATTTAATGGATTTGTCAGCAAACAATTTGACTTCCTGGGAACAAGGATACTTAAAATCATCTGAAAAATCAGCCCACAGACAGTCACCGTGACACCACAAAACAGCCTGCAGGAATAAGTGGAGTGTTTTACTGTTAAATTAATGCTGCTTGTTTTTACCACGTGGGCTCGACTTACCAGACGCTGCACCTTTTTCCAGTAACCTTACCTTTGGTAGAGTGTACTTGGGGAGCCTCATTGGGTAGAAAGCATTTCTTTTATAGGACACGTAATGGACAGACTGGCCACCTACTGGCACCTACAAAAGCAACATAGTGCAATCTGTAGAGCATCATATCTCAGGTAAATAGTCATAAACATTACACTGATAGCTAAAAGCTTGTATCAAACAATTTACGCCGTCGTCAAAACTCTGGGTTTCCTGCTAATTAGGCTGTTGTGCATTATGGCAGAGTGAAGTTTTAGCAACACACAACACCGTCATTTCAATTTCTCCCCATCCTTTCCCAGGATAATGGCCCCTTTTAGTTAATGAAAAACATGACTGTACATTAAGATGCGATTGAATGCATTGGTTTTACAGCTTTTAATGGTCTTTTAATGAAGCCAGACCTTGTAATAAAAACCCACCTGGATGAAAACGTATTCATCCTGAACCACAAGGGAATTAGGGATGATAAATCCAGGGAAAGGCTTGCCCTTGTTTCCATCAGAGCAGTTCTGAAGTTTACAAGTTATGTACTGTGACCCTGTGGGTAAGCAAGAAATGAGTGCTAAAAATACAACAAAGACACAAACAAATAACCTTCTGTAGTCCACAATCAAGGTTCAGCATTATGCTCTTGGTATTAAGTGAGCCATAGAGGCAAAAATTTTTGAAGGCCAATCCTTATTCTCACTAATAGATAAAGTAGAGAGAGCTGTCCCAGTGTGTTAGCATCAGCCAAATGAGGCGGTCTCCCCGGGGAGAGAGCATTAACACACAAGGCCTTATGGAAGTGCCCCCCTCTCTGCACTGTGGCCAAGAAACGAGCCAAGTCACAGCCCGGCCCTTGAAAAATGAATTAACTTAATCGTATGAAGAGTCTTCATGCAGCCAATTCAGAGGGGGAGTAGAGTTTTAGTATGGACAGTCATCTCTCACCAGCTTTTTTCTCTTTTTTTTTTCACATTCAGGTTTAAGCTGTACAATAAATGCTGAAAATTTGATGTTAAACCACTTCTCATATTAAATTTGGACTAATTCTGCAACGTGCTGGTCTGACTCACGTCCATCAGAGACGCTGATCTCCAGGTGAATCATTCCTTGCTCTTTGTCCAAACCCAGTCTGGACCTGGAACATCATGACAGACATCAGATTAAACAACACGATTAATAAATTCAGTAATTTTCTTTTGAGCTTGTGACCCTTTACATAGATACAATTAGTTGCTTGTTACCTATCAAATATAAGCTAAAGACAGAATTCTGCTTCTCTTTTCATTTTTATCAGATGTCCTCGACAAATACTTTGCAGCTCAATCCAAACTCTTTGTAGGTTCAAAGTCAGCTTTTTTACAATGGTGAAGATTTACATAACACACAGTGATAGCACCACACAAACTAGTTTTTACACAGAAGTGTGACCACCACGGGGGGCCATGGCCACCCTCCATCTGATCAAGTTTATTCACTTAAACTCCAATATCCAGGTTTCATTGAATGCAACTATAGTGTCTGAGTGAACGCAGCATTAGATGATTGTCACAGCTGTGGAAAGATGTTTGAACATTTCGTAGCTGAGTTGTACAATCCAGAATTAAAATTACAGTTTGCTACAGAGTAATTAAATTGTGACTAGTTTTCGTTCAGACATCTGTAACCTCATTATGGAACAACTTAGATACCTGTAATTCAGTTTTAACTAGTCATCATAATAGCTTCAGTTATCACAAACATCACTGGTATCTGAGTTGTTGTGCATGATGCTGCTAATGCTGCTGAGGCTTCCCGTTGAATACTGATTGATTGACAATTGTGACTCATCAGAATTAAACTGCCGGTGTCTTAAACTGGAAATAATAGTAGTCATAATTCAGCTGTGGACACCTGCACCAGAACTGCAGACGTCTGTAATGAGCAACCTAATAAACATGACAAGTGACGTCATTTGTCCTGAGAAGAATGACAATAAAAGAGTGTCTGAAATGACAACTGTGAACAGGAGGAATGACACTGCGGATATCTGAAATATTCTGTTTGACTAGAAAGAACTGAATTATGGATATCTGCAATACATACCCAGCACAGCTAATAAATGCTAAACCAGCTTGACATAAGCAGCCAGTTGGCTGTGCAGCCCATCCATAAACATCACAGCGAGTGCAAAAGACACAGTTTGCATGTCATTAGTAGACGGGAGACATGAACACAGACCTCCAAACTCAAAAAAAAAACATCTTTCACCTTTTCCTACAATTTCACATCTATTTCTAACAGAAATGCTCATTAAAATACAACTTAACAGAAGTCAGAGTCTGTCACACATCAGAGTTACAAGACTCACTAATAAAGAATCTAAAGTTTTGACAACATGTTAACAGGAGCTAAAGTTTAGTTTGGTGCGTCCAGCTGTTTGTAAAAGTCTTTCCTCTGAGTTTATTGGACACAAGCAGCATCAAACAGCAGCAGAGTCCATAGAAGCACTTCTGAAGCGAGAGAGTTGTATGCATTTATGCAAACGGCACAACAGTGGAAACTTCACTCATAACTTATATATAACAAATGAAAACCACCGGCCTCATGAACAGGACCCCCACTGAACCCCCTCTATGGACTGTATATGTCACATTAACGTGTCACTTCTCTCTTTGCTCATCATCTCAGCATCTGCACTGCTATTGGTCATGTTGCACCTCCACACCTTCAAATTGCACTCTTTTGTCTGTATAAATATAAATATCAGTATATCTGCACCCTCAGTATTCTTGTAAATAATAACACAGTTTTATGGTTCTTATTTAAATTTAAGTTTAACTCTTTACTCCACAACTTCTTTTTTTTGCTTCTGCTTTGCGCTATAACAGTTATTTTTATTTTTAGTTACTTTTATTTTACTCTGTATTTATTGTTTACTCTATATTTGTTGTTGTACTGTTGCACCAACCAACCAGAACAAATTCCTCGTATTGTGTAAACTATACCCGGCAATAAATCTGATTCTGATTCTGATTTCTAAAAGTAATCCCCAGATGGAGAAAGGGTCCATCAGGATCTAATAGTCACAGTTACATCATTTGCCACAAAGCTGTCACCTGAGCTCGATCACCTATTTGTATTAGTCCGATCTGATGATTAAATCAAACTGAAGTGTAATATCAAGTTTATTCATTTGGGAGATTTCTCCATTTCACAGATTTTCTGCAGCAGCGACATCATTGTGTTACAGAACGTGACCTCTTGTAACCAAAACACAGCAGCTGGTCCATCCCACTAACAATGAAAACATGTTTTTTCTGCCATAGGTTGCAGCAGGTTGATAAATTATCATTGCACATGGACAGAATTTTCAGTGTTGAACTCATAAATAAACTATGGGTGTCTTGGGTGAACTTGTTCCCCTCAGATGCTCTGCAGCATTTATTCTCCCAGGCTATTTTGAAGGGTCAGTCACCCAAACAGCCAAAACACTAACAGTACCTGTATTAGTTTATTCAAAGAAGATACTCATTTGCTTTTTTATAATTCCAACTATATCAGTACGCTGTTTCTTAGCTCTTACACTGGCATAACTTTTATCTGACCCGTAGCACAGCTATGCCTTTTGGTGTTTGTCATCACAACATTTTCAGTGGCTCCATTGGGTCACACAAATAAAAATGTTCTGGAGGCACTCGTGTATATAAGCCAGGTGAAGAATAAAGAATAGAATATATTGTGAAGGCTGGAGACCCTCAGTGACAGTCCCTCTACCCCCTTACCCGCCACCATAGACACAAACTCAATGCGTTACATGAACACACAGCTCTTTAAATGGGATTATTACTGTCCTTTTTACACATTTTTAGGCAAACAATTAGCACATTGCTGCACACTGTAAATATTTTTCATGTTATGTAGTCATTCATGATTTTTTATTACCTTAAATCCCCTTTGTTACCCTCGCTGTGTGTTTCATTTGTAACACTTGCTTCTTATTTCTCTTTTAACACTTACTGACTATTGACTTGCAACACCTGCTTTTTAAAAAAAATCTTTGCATTCCTCTTTAAACATTGTTTACTTGTCAGCATTTAAAGTTATGCACCAAAACACTACAGCAAACTCCTTACATAGAAGAAAAAAAAACCCTCCTTGGCAATAAAACTGATTCTAAAAACATGTCCTTCAGCAAAAACATACTAAAAATGCCAAACTGATTTCACAAATATGACATACACTTTAAAATACAAAATATTCTGCTAATGCTGAGTGACAGTATAAAATAGAAACTAACTTAAGTAACTTACACATGCACACATAGAGTTAGCAGTTATAATACTTTATGATTAAATTCACAAGTTTTAATGGCGTAGGTTTGATAGAGAAGCTCTTTAATTTCAAACGATCTTGTAAGAACTTATAAACGGCCTTTAAACACAACCTCAGATGAGAGAAAAGGCAGAATAAATGTCTTTATGTAACACAATTATGCCTTTAATCACCTTGTCATGGGAGAACGGCATCATTAATTTATCTGTTAATTATCTGTCTTTCCTCATATATGAGCTTGTTTTTATGTTCAATCCAAAGAACAGGACTCACATGTACAGAAAGGAGGACTCAGTGTTTTCCTATGTGGTATAAAAAGCTGCATTTCGTCCAACTTATATGTATAATCGACTAATGAAAAGGAATCCCTGAGCTTCTTTTCCCTGTAAAAAGCTGATGCGCTTAAATTTCCCTTTGAGAATCTGAATGAATAAACAGCAGCCCTTTGCTATATTACATAGAATATTTAATTCTCCAACAGCTAGCAAAGTGTTTCTTGCATTTTTTAAGTTTTAATAAAGTTTGGCAGAGACTTAAATAAATAAAAAACCTTTCCTGTTATTTATTTTGAACATCAGGTAGCTTGATCAGACATTGAGGCGTAACTTTTATCAGCTATTTCGCTGCTCTCCCAAAGCACATAATAAACTCAAGCTGCATTAATAATTAGAATAAAACCAAGGAAAATTGAGAAAACTGCTCAGTAGACGCAGCGAGCTCGTGGTAATCTGTGTTTTTTTTCTGTAATCGGAAGGCGGGGTGCAATATTTGTTTAAGATTAGAGTTTGATTTTTATTCTGGTAATAACAGATGCAGCTGTGATCTTTACTGTTCTCCAAAGGAAGAATAACGCGACAGCCTTATCTCCAAACACTGGCCTGAAGGACGTTTGACCTACACCGCTCATTATGTGTAAGGCGTACTTAGCCATTTCATTCACTTCCCACTAGTGATTCTTCATGGCAGCTGTTCAGTGCAGAGCGACAGGAGTGACCACTTGTTGTATTAATAGCAGCTGTTGTGACAGAAGATGGGTTTCTTTTCATTTTCCATACTGTGTCTGAACTATAATATAAAAAGCCCCCATCCTGCTTCCCTCAGCACTCTGTAATTGCCTCACAGCTCCATCTCTTTTAATGGACTTTCTGTCAAATACTTCATCCAATTCTATCAGTGAACAGCAGCCCTTGCTCTTAAATAAACCCCTGCAATGTTACACTATGTTCCCCCATAACTAACACGCAGCGCTGCGTCGGCCTATGGGGGCCTCTTAACATGTTCCTGTAAATCACGTTTGTCAGATATTTTTTAGATACGTCAAGCAGGGCAGAAAGTGGTGGAAGTAATTCTTCTGTGGTGGATCTCTTCATTTGTGGAGAGCATCTAAAATTAAGCAAATTCAAAACAGCAACAATGTGGGTTTTGTGGAAAGAACACCTTTATTTAGGATGTGGACTCAAAGTAGACTTCTGAATAAACCCAGCTCGTTAGAAAGATCCTTAACTGTGAGGTTTTGCATGGACACCCCTGTTGGGTTGGAGGAATGAAATCTTTATTTGATATTCATTTTTTAAACCGTGTCACAGCGAAATACTCACGATGCTCAAATTGTCTGTGGCGTGTGAGGAAAGACCATCTGTTGATGTTTGGTACAAATCTAAATTATGAACACATTCTCTCATGAAAAAACAAGGCGGGATTTAACCCAAAGTCAAACGTGTGCAGAGTTCTGGTGAGGTCAGCTACAGAAAGACAGTCTGTGGAAAAAGGACTTTGTTATGTGAATTATGTGAAAATAAAGTTCATATTGTGTTTAAGTTGTCAATGTGCAATGAGCTACACTTTACTGTATAAGTGCATTTTGGATTTTAAAAGAATATCTACAAGCTTATAGTCGTGTCTGACAAACCGTTTTATCACTGCAACTGTATTTTTAGAGCCCATACAGGATGGAAGTTTTACACAATAAGTCGTAACCACTAAATATTATGGGCTGCTTTCAGTTATGCATATGTTCCAAGCTGCCTCCAAACTGAGGTATCATTAACCCAAATATTACCCCAGTTTCCGTTTTTTTTTTTTTTTTAAATCCATTAGCATAAACAAATTAGCAAGCTATATATTACTCCTCAACCCCCTCAAGAACTGAGTGTCACGCATCCACCTTCCCTTCAAGGATAAAAAATATCAGCCTCATAAACAAGATAGTAAACCGCCTTTTTCACCGCTAAAATCTACTTAGTCATTACCGCTTCCCTAAAGATTCCTATTTACTCTAATACTATTAACATGTTGCATTTCCAAGACTTAAGCCCCCAAAAACAAGCGTATCCCTCTGCTGTAGGTCATCCCAGCCTCCTTGATTAATCTCTGGTTTTGTTTTTTTTTTCTATACAGAGAAGTGCGAAAAGGATTTTGTAGCCAACGACTATAAAAAACATTATAAATTCAACATTTATCCTGGGCCATAATCCCTGCACCGGCTCCCATAAGCTAATAACGCTAAAACACTGTGAGAGACATCCAAAGGCTCTCTGCCTCGTCCTCAGTCCGGATTCTACGCAACATACATCAGACATCATACAAAATAAATGAAAAACTGATGGATAATGTTTTGGATGTGATTGGATTTGTAACATACTGTGGTATCCCAACACTACGCCAACAATGTTTTATGAGGAGACCGCATTGGACGGATCAAATATTCATCAGCATGTGTAAACTACACACTTAGTACATTATGTAAAAAGTAAAAAGAAAACATAAAACCTGCATTATTTATCATTACAAGCTCTGCCTTTCTAAAAGCTTGGCATTTGTTAATAAAAGCAAAAAGGGGTGTAAAATGTGTTGAGTGAGTTTCAGTGACTCCTCTTTTTTTTTTTACCTTTACTGGAATAACAAATGCAGCCAGTTTTTTTTAACATTTCATGACATTTCCTAAAGTACACTTGAGACTCGACATTCCAGATTTGTTAATGGGTTTAAATCTGACTCAATGAAGTTACTGTTTTTGTACCATTACTGTAAACGAGCTGCTGACTAATCATTTCCCCTCTCCGCTACTGTTGCGAGCAGAATGCTAATAATGCATAGAGCTCGCATTTACATATCTCATATAAAACTATTGCAGCATTTATCTACCGTCAGGACAAACATTCTGCAAATGAGCGGTTGTTGATCTCACCAGTAGAATCTGTTGGGGACGACGCTGTCGTGCACAAGCTGCCATCTCCTTCCAAACTCAACGGAGACGTAAAGCTGAAAAATGGGAATACATTAATCAGATAAGCATGGTATGAAGTACAGTATAATGAATTATCTTCCAAGTGAGAATATCCAAGAGATTTATTTCCAGATTTATGTCCAACTGTATTATAAAGCAGCTGTCGTGTTTGTAAGAATTTTTTTGCATCGCCATGCTGATGTTGTTTTGAATATTGCACTACTGAGTGCATACTTTATGTGGAAATGCATCAGATATGAGAAAATCCATCAGTTCTTGTAAAAACGCAGTAATACTTTGAAGCCGAGTTTCCAAAATATAAAATAAAATAGAAAATAGTTAAGGTTATGTGTTCAGATGCCTTGGCTAAGAGAGAAAGGAGAACATACAAACTGCTCTCCGTGTTAAAAATCAAAGTGACTCGTTCTTTCAGTAACTCAGCAGGACTTCAGCCTAACTGATATAAAATCACTCATTTAGCTGTCATTGTAGTTTTTCTCCACGAAGCTATTTTACTGGTGTTCAAGCAGTCAGGAGGCCTGTCATCTCGCCTTAATGATGCAGCAGCACGCATCTAAGCTCCGAGCTTTACAAGGATCAGCAACGCCATTCTGACGAATCTAAGAACTTACAGCTTTTAAAAGACATGACAGACAATCAATAAATGTAAAATGAAACCAAGCTAAGTCTCATTTGACTCTCGTAGCGATAAAAGGGAAAGAAAAACAGCAGAAAATTTGCTTTACAAAGACATTGGGAACGACCTGAAGGCAAACTTCTCCAGAGCATCTTTATTTTTGACCCGTCGATGGCTTTCAACTAAGCTTTCATCTTCCTCCCTGCACCATTTATCTCACTTCCCAGACCTTGACTGTTTTTCTCTCTGAAAATCAAGTCTTCCAATCGCCGGCTGGAGAGGCCAAGTTTGATGTCTGTGGCGTTGAGTGAAGCAGACAGCAGGGCTCTCACACAGAGTAATGGAGGGTGTGTGTTTATGCTCACAGTTGTGCGTGTGTGTGAGCTTGTGGATTGTTTGGGCGTGTCTCCCTTGTTAACTTTCCGCCGTGCCGTCTAGGACACATCCATTCAAAGCTGTCTACCGCCAGACCTTATGACTTGTTTAGGGCTACAGGTGATCGGCTGCTTCTGCTGTGGCCACTGCAGCCTTGGCTTAAGTAGCAGATGTCTGTGCTCATGAAGACCGTGTCCCGAAACGTAGCCGCTATTATCAAAATGAATGCGTTCGACCATGGCAGCAATATGTTTTATATTTTATAGAGATATTAGTTTTGCTGTGACCCCACGGTGACAACAATCTGGTCGAACACCGCAGCACAGCTAACAAAAGCAGCCGCATAAGCTGCAAGAAACCCACACACAGCAGCCCTTATTCTCACACACAGAGATGTTTTCTGTCACATTTTCCGTTTTTTATTCCAGCTATTTCATGCCATCTGACAGCTACACATTACCTTTTGGTCATGGCTGTAAGCCAAGATCCAGTCCTCCTGCTCAGGGTGAAAAAGCAGGCTGAGGATATCAAAGGCTAAGCTGTGTTTCTGATAGGACGCCCCCTCGTCAAGGCTAATGAGCAGGCTGCTCTCCACCTCTGGGTCGGTCAGCAACATGATCTAAGATGAGACAAGAAAAGAGACGGGAGGAGTGAGCAGCCCACCTTGACAGCATCCATTCTACAGGGCTTAAGTGTGCTTGTGCAATGCGCAAGGTGCAGGCTGCAGGCTGCTGCAGGGCAGCTATGGAGGGAAAATGATAATAAATCGGCTGCACGGTGGTAACAACTGACAGATTATTTTATGCAGACAGGATTTCTCATTGCACACACACACAGTGAAACTTACCTTCCTTTTGTTGTTCGGACTCACATACAAGTAGCTCAGAATGGTTTTCATCCCGACTTTCTCATTAAGTTTTTCATACGTGGTCCCGTAATCAGTTGACCTAAAATTCAATTATAGGATAAAGTAAACAGGCTTTGGTAGAGAGTAGAGGAGAAAAGAGCAACACCTACTAGTTAAGATGCTGATGGTATCATTAAGCATATCAGGCAAGCAGAAAATTGCAACAGCAGAAGTCATGAAGCAATTTGCTAGATGAATGGAGATTTTTTTAATTATCAAAATAAACAAGAACATCCTGTGTGGCATGCATGGCTAGGGGATGAGATATTATTATTTTTATTATTGACACTTCCGTGTTTTATAAATCAAACGGAGAATTAGAGGACATGTTTGCTTAAAAGATTCGCAAAGGTAGGGTTTTGAAACTTTTTTCCCGACGCATTTATTCTTTAAAATATAATTTGTTTATGCTCCAAAAGTGGCACTGCTTTGCTGATTTCATTTCAGATGTCATTTACTGTCCCCAAAATAGATCAGTATCAGTTTCTCTGTGACATTTCGGAAAGAAAAAAACAAGCAGCAATGGGATGTTTTGTACTGCACGATATAAAACACATGTTGTGCATTTTATATTTTTTTTATAGAATCTCTTACAGGATCTTTAGCTTTTGATGTGGAAAGAACACTTTTTCTTTTTTGAATCCTTGTTTATGGATGACTCCACAGAACCCAGTGAAAAAATAATGATAATTACTGCAGAATCCAACACTTTTTTTTCCCATCAGTTTTTGTCATGACCTTATTAAGAAGCCAAGATGTGGAAAAGGTTGAAGTTGCAGGACTTCTTTTTTTTCCCACAAACTGGACACTTGCACATTTGGTGAAGGTGACAAAATGCAGACTTTATCACAAAAATCAGGAAATATTTCACATATTTTTCAAAGACAATAAAATGAAAGAGCGTTATCCTGCTTACAGTAATAGCATTAAAGACATAGGACACTTAAAGAAAAGTCATCAGGCTTTCTCAGCTGTTAAATGACTTCTCCAGAAGTCCAACAACAACATCAGAGGGTGTCATTATATTATATTAATTACTCATAATGGCTACAGATGCATAGGACGGTAACGCTAGACATCTTACCTCCATAAAGAACTCTCCGTTACTCTGCCAGAGTTGAAGTCGTAGTATTTTGTCAGCATGAGAATCACCTACAAAACACATCAAACAGATTACTATCTTCGCAGGAGCGTATCATCAGTTTTGAACGGCAGCAATAACGTGTCACAAAGTGCAACAACAGCCGTCCACGCACGTTTCTTTTAAGCTTCCTGACAGGCACCGCTTTATTAAAAACCAAACGGTGATGGTGTGTCACACTGCTTGCTGTAAAGCCTCGCGCGCGGTCTCGGGGGGTATTTCTGATCATATATGTATGCTGTAATGGTTTTTAAGGCCCAGTAGACTAGCAGAAAATGCTCCCACTGGTGAGCTATGACTAAATGAATAAGTAAACACCATAATTTATTCTGGGCACAGAAAGGCAGACGTCGTAAATACCGTGGACATCTTTCTGGAAGTCGATCATAAAAAGTGTCAAAGTCATATGCGCGTCACAATTCACAGGCCTTTACTTAATGCATGAGAAGCAGCAGATTTCAAGATGTCTTGTAAATTAATATTGATAAACAGCTCACTGTGGACATTTCCACTCGCCTCTTTTCCTTTAGAAAACATCTGAATCAAAGCCAGTGTGTTTGTACGTACAGAAATTAGCGATGCATGAAGTCATGTTTACACGCTTTTGACTCGTCGTTTCCTTTATACGCAGCGAGGAAATGGCATAAAGGGAAAACTTCCACTTCTTCGAGTGCGTAATAACTTTAGACCAAAGAAATGTTCAAAACTAAAAATAAAACCTCAACAGTCACTGACACAAAAAAACAGTTGTTCACATGGTGCCCTTCATCCTTTACACGAATTAATTGCTCCGGCAGCGCCCTGCCTGCACTGTGCAATCATAAAACCTGCAGATCATATAGCTCTCCTGGGAAGAATCTCTGGGCATCTTGTTCAGCTTTTCACAGCTACCGTCTAATTATCAAGTGTTATATGAGCGTTTGGGGTAACATTCCTTATAACAACTAAGAACTCTGTCATGTAAACAAGAAAATTTTAACTTCTTTATGAAATCCCAGCTTGTAGAGTTTCCAAACAGAAGTCATTTTCGAGGCTCAAATCAAATCAATCCTTCTCATCACAGCTAAATGAAAGCGTGCCCCCCTCTTTAAACTAATCAGTGGAACAGAGCTGCGACACACACACACACACACACACACACACACATGAGGCTCTATCAGGTCAGTTATGTAAAGTGGACTCTGGAATTTGGCTGTAAGAGAACACAAAGAGAAGACTGCCGGTAAAAATGCCAAACCATCACAACAGTGACTTTGATTTATAAATCCCAAAATATCTGATTCCCTCGGGGTATTGTTAATTCCTATATCAATGAACACAATCATATTTGAGCCAATGAAAAATGATAAAGCATCATCTAATTGTTTGCTGGTAAATACAGAAATCCCTCTAATCACATGAGCTTTTTCTACATTTGACGTCTGATGATTAATTTAGATAAAGGGATTCATTTTATTTCCGTCTATAAATCGATTGGACCGCTCGGAGTGTCAGCTCGGTTTTCTGCCCTGCTCGTGTTTTCCATAACGACATGTCTTTACTTTATTTAGCAATTGTAAATATTTAATCTTGCAACACCGCACCTCCTCTTTCTGTTAGCAATGCAATGAATTGAGACTTTACAGTTTGGCTTTTATCATCTAATTGTCTTCTCTCTGTGCGAATGGGCGGGCTAATAAAACTGTGACTCTGCTCCTACCTTTCGCTAAATGCATGAAATCCTATAAATCAGAGCTAGTTTGGAGATAATCCCCACAGCTTGTTATAACTTCGGTACCAAAGTGTCCAGACTGGGGTTGCAGAGATTTATGATCTTCCAATAAAATGGCCTTTATGCCTTCCAAAAGTCATACCCTCATGGACACTGTCATACACAATAAAACAACCCGCAGCAGTCGGAAAATTAGGACAAATTACACCCCCGCCCGCTCTTCTGTGTGGCAATTAACTTTATGCATTTACTTGGGAAGAATCCAGGATTACAGTGAAACGTAATGTGCATTCACCTTATTGCCAAGCGAGAAAAGTTTCCTCTGTTCTGCAGGATGTTGAAAGTGTAAGGTGAAGCTTTACGGCTGCAGTTAACACATCAATACAGTGATAACATATTCACTTTGTAGATATTTCTATGTCAAACAGGTGTTTGAAGCTCAGCATGTCACACAAGTCATTAAATTACTATTTGAAATCGCTGGATGAGGCCTCTCCTTTTAATGATTCCACTGCAGAGGGGCTAATGGCAACTTACACTCTGATTCTGATTAATAAGGCTATACATTTGAGCTTTTTTACTCCCTTTGAATTTCAACACAGGTGTCACATTTGGTGTCAGCCACCATGTAGTACACACATCAGACTGCAGTAGAACCAACATATCTCCAAACTGGATTACTTGACATCCAAGAGCAAGCAAATTGATTTTTTTTCTACTCTAATCCTTTGTAAATCTTAAACCTTGGAGGTAAATGGACTGGGATGAATTCGATCATTATGTAAGAATGAATGGGGGCTTAATGGCGACTTAAAGGGCTTAGTGTGAAGAGATTACTGCTGTGGAATGAAGGTGTTGTATGAAGAAGAGTGAGGATGGGGTAGAGGTATGGAGAAAGCAGAGGCTTTCTGTTATTGAAGGATGAACACCTGAGACAAATGAAATGAGCAACAGAGTACACATTGCAATTCATTCCCACTCTCACCAACCCGTTGATCCGGCCTTATCAGCTGTTGGAATTAAGTTGCCTCATCAATAAAACTGTCATCACATTTAGCCACAGCAATTAAACAGATGGATGATTCCATAAAAGCAATTGTTGCGAGAGTTGCTGACTGGAATATTAATAATAAAGACAAATATATATCCAAAAGTGGTCACATGTTTGAGCCTTTGCGTGCTGGGGAAGGATCCATCCCCCCTTTGACCCTGAACAGGAATAAACAAATTCACACAGCAAGTAGTGATTCGTTTAAATATAACCAACTATAACGGCATTAATTATGAAGATCTGAAGTTCATTATTTCATAAGGACTCAAGCTGTAATGATGATAATTCACATGTGTGATCATTGTTGACATTAAATGTCACATCTACAACAAACTAACTGGGAGAAGGAAGGTGAAAACACCTAGCTATAAGATATCAACACCACAGAAGTGTTAATAATGTGCCAGAGTTTTCTTTTCAAGGAATGGAAAAAAACAAAAAGAAGAAGCACAGCTTAGCAAGCAAATTCAAAGCCCTTCAGGGAGGCAGCAACAGCATAAGGTATGGAGCTTCACTTGATAAAATCACTACATTAAATAGCATCATTTAACACCTTTACTAAAGAAAGAATTGTCTATTTCTGTTACATTTATTATTGTGTGACGCACTCGGCAGCAGCGACAACCTGCAGAAGAGCACACCGTTGTGCTCTTCAACAGCACCTGAGTGAGACGCACAACGTACAGAGGCTTTTGTCTGCCACATCAATTTATATCACTTCATTAACAAAGGCAACATTTCCTCGTGGGCCAGATGTTGTGCTGAAGCTCGGCTGTTTGAAGTCAGAGCTGTTGGCTCTCCCACAGATAGCAGGTCACTGCAATCATAAATTATAAAGCAACTTCGCAATATCACTTTGCACAACATAAACTACTAGTTGTCCTGATAAAACTACAGACACAAGGAGGAGTTAATCACGGAGAATTAAAGCGCTAAAGATCTGGGAATGTAAATAAAGAATTTCCAGTCATTGCTTTGAGCTCTGGTAGGATAATAATAAGACGTTCTGCTGTCTTTCTTGAAGTCATAAACTTCAGCAATAATGTGAGTGATAGCAGCATTCTGTTTCTGTTTCCAGACGGTAATACCACTGATCTGTGAACGTCAAATACCCAGTATATCTTAAACGGGCATGCTGCAGGTGCTTCATGTTACAGCTGCGGCTTTCAGGCAGAACAGAGAGTGTCTGACGTTATTGGACTCCTCACGCCGAGACAACGGCTCCGTGTCGAAGTAGAAGCTCGGTTGATAAGTCAACTGAAACGACTTCCTTCTTCTGGGGGCTTATACTCGCGCATCATTTGCTTCTCCGCCATAAATGAAAGCCCAGGCAAGTTCTGCGGTTGGCTACGGCGGCCTGCTGAGCTTGGAAGCTTTGGCGTGCAAGAGGAGGGGGTCTGATCAATGCAGGCAAGATTAGACAGCAAGTGGGTAGGTTTTTCAACCCAACCAAAAAGTTGTGCCCACTGTGGACGGAGTGCTTTTTTTGTTTTTCCTTTTAAATCTTCAGCTCTCAGTCTGAAATTTGGAACCGCTGAGTGGGATGGTAAGAGATGAGTCGCATGTTGACAAACTAAAAAGCTCCCCGGACTCTTTAATAAAGTACATTTCCTGCAACATAAATAAAGCTAAACAGCTGATTAGATAAATATGCCGAGGAGAGAATTTCTCTCATCCATATGTCTTTTCAGCCTCACCAACTGTGTTTGAAACCTCCTGTCTGCCCAAATGCATCGCTGTAAATCCAAAGCGAAGAACTTGAGCGAGTGAATCAACGTTATGGTTTTGAATGCGAAGCTTTCCTTACAGCAGCCAGATGGCATAACTCATACGAACGACTAATGCAGGTGGCCGCTGTAAAATGAAAGTGTTCTGAAGCACAAAATGAGGTGCAAACTGAGCAACGGCTAACAAAAGAACACTGACAACAGCGACCAACTGGGAGAGTGTTTCTGATTCATGGATGGAGCACTGAGGCACCGAGACACAGCTGAGAAGTAAAAAGCCCTCTTCAAGATATGGTGGCAATTTTAACATTAATTGTCAAGACATTATCTCATTTAAATGATATGTCTGCAAATGAACAAGCTGATTCTTTGCCTACCAGCTGCCACTACAATTATTCTGAAGCTATAGCAGCTGTTCTTGAAACAGCAGTGAGTCACAGTGGAAACAGTCAGAGCACACATAACAAAAATATGGACCTGCGCAGCAGTTTGATTTAAGATAACAGGAAGAAATGCAAACAC